GACTCAAGAAACGTTAGTAGAAGCTGGTATGGGTAATCTTAGTCATTAGCTTGTCGAAGGGTATAATTATTGGAGCAGCCGCTAATTATCAGTTTATATTCGATAAACCGAACAAACTATTTCTGAAATAAAAATTGCTCATGAAATTCATAGCTCTTTTCTGTATACTGGAAACAGTCTTCATTAAGGGTAACAATGTGGCCGGCAAATTTGAGGTTATTGTCAATTAATACCATCAAAAATTTGAACTATGTCTGTTTTGATTCATTTTGTTGTTAATGGTAGATTGTAGGTTCTGTTATGACAAGTCCAATAAGTTTATATGATATGTCTTTTATACATTTTTATGATGGGCTTTGGTGATAAATAAATTTGATTTGATTGATTTGATGTTGTCAATGCAGCAGCGAAATTATATTGAGTTTGTTTTGGAAACATTAAATGACAGGAGATTTAAGTCATATCATTTTATCATTTTTTTTGTGTCTGAGCTTATAATTTAGTGAAAATTAGGTTTCAACGCCATAATATTGTGGAGTTATCGGCAAATAGGGTATATTTGTATATTTTTTTTCCATATTGATAGATGTTGAATCGTTAATGTATAAAAAAAGTATCGGTCCCAGTACTGAACCTTGTAGTACGCCATTTTTTCTTTCTGTGACACAATTATCGAATATATTTTATGAATAATTCCACGGATGCCACAGTGGTAGAGTTTTTTCTGCAGCATCCCACGATCTACACAGTCAAATGTTTTAGCAAAGTCACAGAACACTACTGCTGATGACTCTTCATTGACAATATTTCTATAAATATTGTATAACAAAGAAAAGTTAGGCTGACCTCTTATATTAACATAGATGAAACTACGAGAAACGCGTCTAGAAAGAAGGTGTTGTAAACTATGTTTTAATATTAGATATAGATATAGATATTGATCCAATTTGTTACATTTATTGATTTATTGAACATATATTTTCAAATTGGAACTGACACTTTTTTATGTATTTAATCATTTTGTTTCAGGCTGTAGAATTCTTCAAAAATGTACTATACAGCATATCCATTGGTATCCTATTCACCCTAACCGTGGAAGAACCTTTGATGAGAATACAGAAAATTGTATTGCCTCAGGTCAGCAAATCTGCTGTGAAAAACAAGAAGAAAAGTAATTGATGATCCTAAACGTAGTCAAACTGATGAAGTTTTGTGAAAATATAACAAAATCAATTAATTAGGTATTCTGTATCACATTTCATTAAAACGAGTAATATAAAATGATTTCGCTACATATCATATATGATATTTCCTAGTCCAGTCTGTTTCGCTGTCGGTCGGTCTGTCTGTCTGCCTGACGCGATAAACTCTAAAACTACCGAACGGATTTTCATACGGTTGTCACCAATGGACGGAGTGATTCAAGAGGTTATAGTTTATGAATGTTTTGCATGAATCAGTTGAAATATGATGATTTTATTCGTGAAAAATAAAATAAGTAAAACAATTTTTATGTCAAACGGTTGGAAAAAAGTTATAACGATGTAGAAAATGTACTAAATGCTTAAAAATAATTCGGCAGGTCCTAGGTAGCAGACACCATATCACTTAGCAATCTATGGAATTGATCAGATGAAAAAATAATGAAATCGTTGGGCGTAGCGTGACCTGAGTAAAAAATATGTTGATACTACGCCCAACGATTTTGTTATTTTTTCATCTAATAACTACAGTAGATTGCTGAGGTGGGAATTATTTTCAGCTTTTAGTATCTACATTNCCGAAAATAAAAACATTTTCGGGAAACTTTATGCAATAGATTTAGGCGATGTAGATGTCTATAACCTAAATGTGTACTATCTCCTAATTCACATCCATCCCTTTATTTAATATTAAATTTGTTGTAAAAATTATGAGAGATTTTCCAAAGGTATTTCAAATATCTGAAATTGAAGTAAGTTGTTTTTATTTACGAATTTTCATTGAATGTGATACATTGAATGTGAAATTTCAAAATTTGGGATAAGCCAACTTTCACAAGATTGGTGAAATATTAGTGATTATCGGCCATCCTTACCATTCTGGTTGCAAACAAAGCATAGAGCTTTGTTTGTATTTGGATATTCTTCAGATATATTCTAAAAAACATGTATGTATGTATATAGTGGGGAGGGTGAGTGTATACCCACAGCACTTAGGCCACATGTGATCCATGGTACTTCCTCCCGAGGAGTTGTTCTCCTAGGACATTGTCCATCCTTTCCTTTCTAGGAAGGTGGACAGGTCACTAAGAAATATCTCGGCATCATATCGGCAGGTGTAGACCAAGACTCGCCGAACACACACTCTCTTTGGCAACCTCACGGCGGCCTCCGCGAAGGTTTTGGAAGGTGCAGCAACATTACTGTCATTGCGCGGCTTCTTCAACCTTCCTGGGGTTTCCCTAATGGAGGTGTTCAAGTGAGGGCGCTTTTCTGCAGGGGCAGCTGGTCCTTGCCTTTATTCAAGGCGGAGATCTTGGCGCCCGCCGTAGGAGTTGCCCTTGCTGTTGGAGGTGGAGTGGAGAAGGAGGAGGGTGCACTTATAGTTGCTGGCACTCCTACCTCAAGAGGTAATCTGCTATGTCCAGCCTCATTCCGAGCGGTAGATTGGGGTGGATATTTCTGTTCATCCTCAGCCACCGCTTTAGATTGAGGTGAGCACTTCTGTCCAAGCTCGGGATTGGTTTTTGTTGTTTCTGTTTTTTTTGTGTTCCCACGAGTAGCAAGGAAAGAGTTGGTCACCTCTGGCAGAGCCCCGCATTACCAGAGGTAGGCTGACTACAATAAAGTTTCGCCCAGTTCCCCAAGGGGATCGTTCGTGACCGCATATCACCCTGCGGCCATTCAGCTGTCGGCACGATTCCTTACACCTTAGCTTGGGTAGGCTGGTCCACGGTGGCATGTTTCGCAAAGGCTTTTGAGGAGTTTTAGTTCCCCTCACCCTACTTATTTCTGCCACTGACCAGGAGTCCGGCGATTCCGTTCGTAAGGCCACATATTGGCTTTCCGGACGGGGCCCCCAGGCCCCTGGCCGTTCCCCTATCCGCCACCTGGAGACGCGGCCGATAGGTAGCCCAACCCATGGGTGAAAAACATATTCTGAATCTGTTGATTTTTTATCGTTGAATTAATCATATCGATCAAGTATTTGAATTTTTGTAACTATAAGTATATTTTCAAATCACCGGTATTTTCGATATTCACTGTAACTAACCGTAGAAGTGAGACTATTGTCTACGTTCAAGACCAATTCCACGTGAACATTTCCTTGTTTTCTGATGAGCGTGACAGTTATGCTAATGCTATTTGATTGAATTTGAATGGCGCTTATCATTAATGTACATAAGTTGTCTGCTCATATAATTTCTGTGGTAATTTTCTAGCATGCTGGGTTTGATGCTATTACATGCATTTTTTTTATCCGAGATAGTCAATATCTGTATGAGATGTTGAAAATACTTCCTTCGTGTATCCTCATATGAAAAATTCTAGGAGAGTAAAGTCTGAGGACTGAGCTGGCCAGGCAATTGATCCATTTTCTTCGATACATTTTGTTAGGAATATTGCACCTGAATGTTTCTATACTATTGCTATATTTTCAGAAGATGCACCGATTCGTTGAAAATATTGTATTTCACGGCGGATATTCAGTTGCAATTGATTTGAGTCGCCATTAATCTTATTTATTCCGAACCTTTTTTAGAAATTGGGGAATGTGTGATGTTAATTTGTATTATTTCACCTACAATAGATGCATGTGTTGAACCAACCATCATTGGTGAATTTTGATTCATCTGTTCAAATTATTAATTTCTGCTTTTCATAGTGGGAAATAATTTGCGACGAATCATTAGCTGAGTCATTTTTTGTTCTTTCGTCGGGTATCTGCCACACGTACCTACAAATGCGTAGGTCTACATGAGAGGCAAGGGGTAAGGTGTTTTTCACCTGAACCAGAAGAGAGAGAAAGAGAAAGGTATTCTTTTCTGCTAACTAGTTAGGATATGAGTGAAACAATATTTAGATATGCAGCATGCCAAAACAAGTTATTTGACAACAAAGCTATGGTTCGGGTCTTGAATCATATTTTTGTTGATGTCAATGTTAATTTTAACAAGCATCGTTCATGTCTTTCATGTTCCGCTCAAACCTCAGATATCGATTTCATGGTCCTCTAGAAAGTCTTGAGATAGTTCAAGTCCAGTAAACACAGACCTAACATTCAAATGAACGAAATTCACATATGCAGCTACAAATACCTCAAATAAAAAAAAAAGAAAATGTAATGGGGTATTATAAAAGAGGAATATGTTGAACATTTCCGTTGGGTATCTGCCACACGTACCTACAAAGCCGTATCTCTGCATGAGATAATATATATATTCTAAAAAACAT